GACACTGCACATATCGCGTCATATGTGGAATAGAGACACTGGTCATATCGCGTCATATGTGGAATAGAGACACTGCTCATATCGCGTCATTATGTGGAATAGAGACACTGGTCATATCGGGTCATATGTTGAACAGAGAAAATAACAACGGTTTATAGCAATAATGTTTATTATAAAATGCCTTTACAAAAATAACAACTCTTCTAAAAAAATACAAACTATGCTAGCATATTTCTATATACTAGTTTCTGCAACGTCCTAAATTTGACATCATCACAGAATATGACGTCATTTCAGCTCACTGTAGTAGCACTGAGAAAACAACTTTATCACGAACATAATTTACAATAAATAATCTTTAAAACGCGGGCAGTACAACCATATAAATACATAAATATAAATATTGTGTAAAACGTCATCGAAGTTATCAGTGTAATACACATTTGTGTAAAACGTCATCGAAGTCACCAGTGTAATACACCATTAGAATGACAATAGAAGGAGAACAATAGTGGAATTCGCTGAACACCGCGCTGTGAGCTTCGAATGTGCCGACAGTGTTTGAATCTGGTCATCAGCGCCTAGATTCGACCTTTGATATCACACATTGTCGTAAATAAGGTCACGTTTCAAACAATTAACTGTTATCAAGATTCATATATCTTATGTTTAAACCTGTCTCGAGCTGAACTATGTAAACCCAGATCAGCTTCAATTCCCCATGTGTGGGTAAATTATCCAACTAATAGTATTATAAACCTAGGTTTAAAATATTAATACAAATATTAATTACTTGTTTCAATTTTCCGTCGGAGGTTTCTTGGTCGGTCGGATTCTTTAAATCACAATGCCTCTATGTCAAAATCATTGGTACTGGTGTTGTTTCTTGTTACATAAATACATTTATCTTTCAATAAATAAAACAATATTTGCATAAATAATGAATTCGAAAAATAAATAAATATAGCAAATAAAACTTTCAACTCTCAAAATTAGCCAGTAAGTTTTTTATTTTAAATTATAGAAATAAATGTTGTAATACCTAAATTGTTTTGGGAATACCAAACACTATGGTTCATGCTTGACGTTAATATATAGTTGTCATGGATACAATCAAATCTGTAACGATATGGCTCTATACCAATTTACTGATAATATTCACTTTGAAAACAGAATCGCGGGCGACCATTATTACAATTATTTTCTCTTTTGCTTCCCAGATAATTTGTTTAATGCAAATTTTAATGCAAAATATCACAAAACAAAACACATTATCAGTAACGTAGTTTTTGTGTGAGCGGTACTTACATGTGCCACTTTTAGACGGCACACAGTTCGTATCATCTTGGTACGAAACGATGTTGTTATTTACGTGTTCCAAAGGATACGGTAGGTATCACATCGCACAAATTGTGCTTGGTGAAAACAATATGGACATTATCACACGCGGATTACACGTTCGTGTTGTTTCAACTAAACAATTCGTGACACATTCTGTTTTCAAGATAACACTTAATAAAAACAGTTTGTCAGTTGGCAATGGCAGTAGAATTATTAGTAGATGATTTACTATGTTACTATAGAAACATTATCAGTTACATGACTATGTCACCATAGAAACATGAGATTAATTACACGACTATATCACCATAAAAACAGAAGATGAGTTTCATGGCCACATATCTAAATAAGAACATAATGTCGCTCCATGTAATCCTCAAACGGTAGTGACGAATAATCTCCATAGGTTGGCATCTGAAGGCAAAACTGGTTGCATCCATTATTTTCTGCTTTTAATCCAAAGAGCATATATTAACACATAAGGTATTAAGCATTATGCGTGGTCTATTCTTGGGGTACACAACATATATCCAATGTTTTCTTTATAATCCGTTACTATCGTAAACAAAATATTCATAAATACAAGTTGTAGACATATTTTATATATCTTCAGTTTACTTCGTAGTATATACAGGCATTTTTACACTATTACTAATGTTGATGAAGACATAACAATTGTTTTGGATATTCCTTGTACAATATAATGAGTTCGTAGATTGATATCACAACGAGGCTGTACACTTATCCATGTCTCAAAATAGCAGCATCTACTTTCAACAGGCAGTATTAATCCAAAGTTTGTGTGTATATGGTTTGGCAATACAATGCAGCAAAATGAACTTTATCTGAAGTTAGCATAAATGAGAAATCCATTAAAGGTGACGTAGTTGAAACTGTTGCTGTAGATAGCATATTCCTTATGAGGACCAAGTTGAAGCCATACTCTATCTCCTACTTCAAGTTGAAGCATTATACTTTGCGACTGTGCCACCTTCCTATCTCCGGCGTCGGTCGCTATGGCAGTCGTCGTTTCCTCGTTCTTCATCAATGTAATTCCTATATGTTTCCCGTCGTATGATCTCACGTTGAAGGAGAAATAATAGATGCCAGGAGTTTGGGCGGTGAATATTCCAGTATTTCTGTCAAACGACTTTCCTTTGTTGGCCATCAACTTGTCGTATGTTATCACTTGGGATTCCAGTGATCCCAGCATGACAGTAGATCTTGCCGCTGAAAAGGCGCATTTTCTTTTAACTGAAAAATAAAAGTCAATAGAAGCAAGTGTGTTCAGCTAAATAGCAAGAATTCAGTGCCCCGGCAAGATGTACAGGCTGCTACATTGAAATGTATGTCTGCGTACAATTGCATATTGAACTCTTAGACGCAGTGTGATGAATAACAGGGTTTATGTCAGGGATATGGTTAACATCTTTATAACTACGTATTAAGGCGTTATTATAGTTTGACTATGTTTTCTGTGGTACTATAACTTGCGTTTGACAATACGCCATTGTATTACTAATTCGTATTATTATTCATATCATGTATTTGACATTGTATTTTGCCATTTTTGTGAAATAATTTTGGTAAGAGACATTAAATTAAAATTTCTTACTGTCTTATAGCATTGCAATGTCTTGAATTGTTTCTATTGTTCAGCAGAGATCGCTCCAGCGGTCATTGCGGCTTCAAATGGTGACCCCATGATAATCCGCATCTGCTTACAATTTATCATGGTACCGTTCATGGCATGTTATTGAAATTACTAAAAAACAACTGGCGGTTATAATTGTCGAATACGGAATGTTAGTTGAAATAACAAGATGCCGATAAAAATATGATAGTTATGTCCTGGTATCCGCGGCAATTAATCTAACATAATGGCGTGTTAAATACTTTGCGTGATTGGCTATATGTGTGAAAGCCACGCCTTAGAGTCTTTTAACTTCTCTGTAATTGGTTAACAGTTGCAAAAGTGAATAAAGTGGTCTCGGCACGAGAGAGTCAGTCGGGGGTGCGGCCGAGAAACAACACGATTGAGACCAAATGTAATAACATTTCGATTCTCTGTGTGTCTTTGTTCGATTGAATGGGTGGCGAACTTCCCGATCACCGGTTACCTGACTTGAAGATTTAATAACCCGATAATTAAGCCATCATACTAACAATACACAAGGACTGCGGGAATCGGGGAAAACATAAAATAAACGAAGCTTATGAAAATGTACTCAAGCTTTAACTTCAAGTAATATTTGACAGTTATTAATGATTCTAGCAGTGATGTAAATGCCACTGTAAATGTGATTAACCGTCGTCATTTCAAGAAACATTGATATTTATTGGATCGTTTGTATTAATGATTCTAGTAGTGATGTAAATGTTATTAACCGTCGTCATTTCAAGAAACATTGATATTCATTGGATCGTTTGTATTAATGATTCTAGTAGTGATGTAAATGTTATTAACCGTCGTCATTTCAAGAAACATTGATATTCATTGGATCGTCTGTATTAATGATTCTAGTACTGATGTAAATGTTATTTACCATCATCATTTCAAGAAACATTGATATTTATTGAATCGTCTGTATTAATGATTCTAGTAGTGATGTAAATGTTACTTACCTTAGTCAGGTCAAGTAACATTGATATTTATTGGATCGTCTGTATTAATGATTCTAGTAGTGATGTAACTTTACTTACCTTAGTCAGGTCAAGTAACATTGATATTTATTGGATCGTCTATATTAATGATTCTAGTAGTGATGTAAATGTTACTTACTTTAGTCAGGTCAAGTAACATTGATATTTATTGGATCGTCTGTATTAATGATTCTAGTAGTGATGTAACTTTACTTACCTAAGTCCGGTCCAGTAACATTGATATTTATTGGATCGTCTGTATTAATGATTCTAGTAGTGATGTAAATGTTACTTACCTTAGTCAGAACAAGTAACATTGATATTTATTGGATCGTCTGTATTAATGATTCTAGTAGTGATGTAAATGTTACTTACTTTAGTCAGGTCAAGTAACATTGATATTTATTGGATCGTCTGTTTTAATGATACTAGTAGTGATGTAAATGTTACTTACCATAGTCAGGTCAAGTAACATTGATATTTATTAGATCGTTTGTATTAATGATTCTAGAAATGATGTAAATGTTACTTACTTTAGTCAGGTCAAGTAACATTGATATTTATTGGATCGTCTGTATTAATGATTCTAGTAGTAATGTAATTTTACTTACCTTAGTCAGGTCAGATAACATTGCTATTTATTGGATCGTCTGTATTAATGGTTCCAGTAGTGATGTAACTTTACTCACCTTAGTCAGGTCAAGTAACATTGATATTGATTGGATCGTCTGTATTAATGATGTGAATGTTACTTACCTTAGTCAGGTCAAGTGACATTGATATTGATTGGATCGTCTGTATTAATGATGTAAATGTTACTTACCTTAGTCAGGTCAAGTAACATTGATATTTATTGGATCGTCTGTATTAATGATTCTAGTAGTGATGTAAATGTTACTTACCTTAGTCAGGTCAAGTAACATTGATATTTATTGGATCGTTTGTATTAATGATTCTAGTAGTGATGTAAATGTTACTTACCTTAGTCAGGTCAAGCAACATTGATATTTATTGGATCGTCTGTTTTAATGATTCTAGTGATGATGTAAGTGCTACTTACCATGGTCAGGTCAAGTAATATTGATACTTATTGGATCGTTTGTATTAATGATTCTAGTGATGATGTAAGTGTTACTTACCTTAGTCAGGTCAAGTAATATTGATATTTATTGGATCGTTTGTATTAATGATTCTAGTGATGATGTAAATGTTACTTACCTTAGTCAGGTCAAGTAACATTGATATTTATTGGATCGTTTGTATCAATGAGTCTAGTAGTGATGTAAATGTTACTTACCTTAGTCAGGTCAAGTAATATTGATATTTATTGGATCGTTTGTATTAATGATTCTAGTGATGATGTAAATGTTACTTACCTTAGTCAGGTCAAGTAATATTGATATTTATTGGATCGTCTGTGTTAATGATTCTAGTAGTCATGTAACTATACTTACCTTAGTCAGGTCAAGTAACATTGATATTTATTGGATCGTCTGTATTAATGATTCTAGTAGTGATGTAACTTTACTTACCTTAGTCAGGTCAAGTAACATTGATATTTATTTGATCGTCTGTATTAATGGTTCTAGTAGTGATGTAACTTTACTCACCTTAGTCAGGTCAAGTAACATTGATATTTATTGCATCGTTTGTATTGATGATTCTAGTAGTGATGTAAATGTTACTTACCTTAGTCAGGTCAAGTAACATTGACATTTTTGGATCGTTTGTATTAATGATTCTAGTAGTGATGTAAATGTTACTTACCTTAGTCAGGTCAAGTAATATTGATATTTATTGGATCGTTTGTATTAATGATTCTAGTAGTGATGTAAATGTTACTTACCTTAGTCAGGTCAAGTAACATTGATATTTATTGGATCGTCTGTTTTAATGATTCTAGTAGTGACGTAAATGTTACTTACCTTAGTCAGGTCAAGTAACATTGATATTTATTGGATCGTCTGTTTTAATGATTCTAGTAGTGATGTAAATGTTACTTACCTTAGTCAGAACAAGTAACATTAATATTTATTGGATCGTTTGTATTAATGAGTCTAGTAGTGATGTAAATGTTACTTACCTTAGTCAGGTCAAGTCAAGTAACATTGATATTTATTGGTTCGTCTGTTTTAATGATTCTAGTGATGATGTAAGTGTTACTTACCTTAGTCAGGTCAAGTCACATTGATATTTATTGGATCGTCTGTTTTAATGATTCTAGTAGTGATGTAAATGTTACTTACCATAGTCAGGTCAAGTAACATTGATATTTATTGGATCGTCTGTATTAATGATTGTAGTAGTGATGTAAATGTTATTTACCTTAGTCAGGACAAGTCATATTGATATTTATTGGATTGTTTGTATTAATGATTCTAGAAGTGATGTAAATGTTACTTACCTTAGTCAGGTCAAGTAATATTGATATTTATTTGGATCATCTGTATTAATGATTCTAGTAACGACGTAAATGTTACTTATCTTAGTCAGGTCAAGTAATATTGATATTTATTGGATCGTCTGTATTAATGATTCTAGTAACGACGTAAATGTTACTTACCTTAGTCAGGTCAAGTAACATTGATATTTATTGGATCGTTTGTATTAATGATTCTAGTAGTGATGTAAATGTTACTTACCTTAGTCAGGTCAAGTAACATTGATATTTTTTGGATCGTCTGTATTAATGATTCTAGTTGTGATGTAACTTTACTTACCTTAGTCAGGTCAAGTAACATTAATATTTATTGGATCGTCTGTATTAATGATTCTAGTAGTGATGTAAATGTTACTTACCTTAGTCAGGTCAAGTAACATTGATATTTATTGGATCATCTGTTTTAATGATTCTAGTAGTGATGTAAATGTTACTTACCATAGTCAGGTCAAGTAACATTGACATTTATTGGATCGTCTCTATTAATGATGTAAATGTTACTTGCCTTAGTCAGGTCAAGTAACATTGATATTTATTGGATCGTCTGTTTTCATGATTCTAGTAGTGATGTAAATGTTACTTACCTTAGTCAGGTAAAGTATTATTGATATTTATTGGATCGGCTGTATTAATGATTCTAGTAGTGATGTAAATGTTACTTACTTTAGTCAGGTCAAGTAACATTGATATTTATTGAATCGTTTGTCTTAATGATTCTAGTGATGATGTAAGTGTTACTTACCTTAGTCAGGTCAAGTAATATTGATATTTATTAGATCGTCTGTATTAATGATTGTAGTAGTGATGTAAATGTTACTTACCTTAGTCAGGTCAAGTCATATTGATAGTTATTGGATTGTTTGTATTAATGATACTAGATGTGATGTAAATGTTACTTACCTTAGTCAGGTCAAATAACATTGATATTTATTTGATCGTTTGTATTAATGATTGTAGTGATGATGTAAATGTCACTTACCTTAGTCAGGTCAAGTAATATTGATATTTATTGGATCGTCTGTATTAATGATTCTAGTAACGACGTAAATGTTACTTACCTTAGTCAGGTCAAGTCACATTGATATTTATTGGATCGTCTGTTTTAATGATTATAGTAGTGATGTAAATGTTACTTACCATAGTCAGGTCAAGTAACATTGATATTTATTGGATCGTCTGTATTAATGATTGTAGTAGTGATGTAAATGTTACTTACCTTAGTCAGGTCAAGTCATATTGATATTTATTGGATTGTTTGTATTAATGATTCTAGTAGTGATGTAAATGTTACTTACCTTAGTCAGGTCAAATAACATTCATAATTATTTGATCGTTTGTATTAATGATTGTAGTGATGATGTAAGTGTTACTTACCTTTGTCAGGTCAAGTAATATTGATATTTATTGGATCGTCTGTATTAATGATTCTAGGAACGACGTAAATGGTACTTACCTTAGTCAGGTCAAGTAACATTGATATTTATTGGATCGTTTGTATTAATGATTCTAGTAGTGATGTAAATGTTACTTACCTTAGTCAGGTCAAGTCACATTGATATTTATTGGATCGTCTGTTTTAATGATTCTAGTAGTGATGTAAATGTTGCTTACCATAGTCAGGTCAAGTAACATTGATATTTATTGGATCTTCTGTATTATTGATTCTAGTAATGACGTAAATGTTACTTCCCATAGTCAGGTCACGCAACATTGATATTTATTGGATCGTTTGTATTAATGATTCTAGTGATGATGTAAGTGTTACTTACCTTAGTCAGGTCAAGTAATACTGATATTTATTGGATCGTCTGTATTAATGATTCTAGAAATGATGTAAATGTTACTTTTCTTAGTCAGGTCAAGTAACATTCATATTTATTGGATCGTCTGTGTTAATGATTCTAATAGTGATGTAAATGTTACTTACCTTAGTCAGGTCAAGTAACATTGATATTTATTGGATCGTTTGTATTAATTATTCTAGTAATGAATCAAATGTTACTTACCTTAGTCAGGTCAAATAACATTAATATTTATTGGATCGTCCCTATTAATGATGTAAATGTTACTTACCTTAGTCAGGTCAAGTACCGTTGATATTTATTGGATCGTCTGTTTTAATGATTCTAGTGGTGATGTGAATGTTACTTACCTTAGTCATGTCAAGTAACATTGATATTTATAAGATCGTCTGTGTTAATGATTCCAGTAGTGATGTAAATGTTAATTACCTTAGTCAGCTCAAGTGACATTGATGTTGATTGGATCGTTTTTATTAATTGCTCTTGTAATGAATCAAATGTTACTTACCCTAGTCAGATCAAGTAACATTGATATTTATTGGATCGTCTCTATTTATGATGTAAATGTTACTTACCTTAGTCAGGTCAAGTAACATTGATATTTATTGGATCGTCTGTTTTAATGATTCTAGTAGTGATGTGAATGTTACTTACCTTAGTCAGGTCAAGTGACATTGATGTTGATTGGATCGTCGCTATTAATGATGTAAATGTCACTTACCTTAATCAGGTCAAGTAACATTGATATTTATTGGTTCGTCTGTTTTAATGATTATATTAGTGATGTGAATGTTACTTACCTTAGTCAGGTCAAGTGACATTGATATTTATTGAATCGTCTGTATTAATGATTCTAATAGTGATGTGAATGTTACTTACCTTAGTCAAGTCAAGTAACGTTGATATTTATTGGATCGTCTGTTTTAATGATTCTAGTAGTGATGTGAATGTTACTTATCTTATTCAGGTCAAGTGACATTCATATTGATTTGATCGTCTGTATTAATAATTCTAGTAATGATGTAAATGTTAATTACCTTAGTCAGATCAAGTAACATTGATATTTATTGGATCGTCTGTGTTAATGATTCTAGTAG